GGTGGTCAGAGCAGAAGGATTGCTTCCTGTGGTTTGCAACCCATAGTCTTGTTTACATACCATCATATAATGTTTGTTTTTTAAAGGATAGCATTCTTTGTTCACTTAGATTTATGTATTCTACTCTGTAACCTCAGGGTCATCCTCTGAGGAACTGCTAGTCACCCTGTATTTGTGCGTTTGAATACTCCTGTCTAAGTGTACTTAATTTTGGCTAATTTCATCCTACTTTCAGCCTATTTCTCCAATTAGTCAAGTGATTTTTAAATTCTAGTGTCTTCCATCATACTTGTAGCCCTCCCTTTAGATGTGTCACTTAGAAACATAGCAATCAGGATCATAACATCTCTTCTTCAAGTAATCAGTTACATTGTCCAGTGCTTTAAGCTCCTAATTGCCTAAATACTTTGGAATATCTTGCTGTAAATGGCCCCAAGATACTGCCATGTATCACACAGGACACTTATAGAAGTGCATCCAGATGTTTTAAATTACAGGCCACAACTGACTCATGTTTCTAAAAGTCATCCTGCATTCCCAATCACAGGATGCAGTGCTTCTTTCTGTTTTCTGAACTGCTACTACTTTTTTGTTTCTTCAAATGTGTGATGGTGCCCAGATTGATTTTTCATAGGTCAATTTTCCTCAACCACCACTTAGTCCTCTCATTAATAAGACACCCTTAAAAAAAAAAAGCCCCGTTTAAGTTATTTCACTCTATGACATCAAGCACATGTGTCATTGCTCACTGTGGCCTACTTCACTCCCAGTAGAAATAAAAAAGAAAGGTTACAATCACAAAACAATAGGGTTTATATAGTGGTCAAAGTCAAAGTGGAAGCTTGACTGTTTGTAAGGAGATAGCAGAGGATGCAGAATACACAAGCCTGGCCTAATGGCATAGAAAATTTATTTTTAAAAATCTCAAATCTTTCTTAAAAATACAATCTCTTCTTCCCATTAGTATTTCCCAGAAGATGCATATACCTTCACTCAGTCAGTATTTCAAAATGTCTGCTTTTGTTAAAAAAAAGTATTGTCTTCAGTTAGTGCAGCACATGGTGCTTTTCCTTGAAGACTAGGCAGTGGAGGTGACACTTGATTCATAAGCTTTTGATCTACACGTGATCCTAGGATGGCATGAATCCAGGGCATGGTGAGCCTGGAGAAAGTGAACCTGATGAGGTAGCAGCGCAGTAGAGTGCTCTCTCATGCTCTAAAAGAGCAGCTTTAGAGTCTGTCAGTAGTTCCTGGGTAGGTCTTTGGGGAGAGATACTGAAAGAGCCCTTAAGAGTCAGAGTGTCTTCTGTTTGCTCCCCATTCTTTGCAGAGGGCCTGCAGCGAAAGTAAAACTCAGTGATAGGCTTTTTATTTTTCTTCCTGGAGTTACTTAGGGTGTGCCACCATTTCACAGAAACATAATCCCGTAAACATTAACATGTAATTGCTCATTTCAAAATGTTCTCTGTTCTCTATTGGGTTGATCAGGAGGCTGTCCTCTGAAAACAGTAGAATTATTCTCATTTTATTGTGAGGGAAGTTAATTAAACAGACAGGGAAGCAATGAAATAGATCAGTAATGAAATACAACTGATGATAAAGATGTTTCAATCTTCCCCTGCTTATACATATAAAAAAAAGATAGATGATGTAGTCCTGGCTGCCTGTAGGCTCACAGTCTGGGTAAAAAGCAGACTAGCTCTGGGGAACTGCACAGAAGTGAGCCATGCTATGGGAAACTTCACAAAAATCTCATGTCCCATTTCATTCAGCTACACTTCAAGGTACAGAAAAGGATCTAAGAAGCAAAAAGGTCCAAAGGAAAGAGCTGCGTCCTGGTTACATTTCAGAACCCTCTGGAACAGGTGGGGATCATATCAGAAACTCTATAGTCAAGAGATTGGGAAACTAGGTGGGCCTTGGGAGATCAGTTTGCACATATGTAGAATGGATCATTGCTAATGATTTCTTTGGAAGAAAAGGACTTTGCAAAGAGTGGGGAAAGTGATGCAGTACTTAGTTTTTTACAAGAGACGATTACTTCTCCCCAGCTGCTTTATATCTACTGTCCAGTTTCCGAATTTGGCTGCATGAAGAGATTGCCAGCCCAGTTTCCAAAACCCTCAGTCATCAAGGAAGAGCAGATCATCAGAACCACTAACATAATACGAAAAAAAGTTAGGAAATACCAACAACTTCTGTAAAGCAACTGATTAAAATATCCAGATCATAGAGTGAAAGCCGCACTGAAATTTTGACACCTTTAAAATTTGAGTAGTTATGAAGGAAGAACATCTTAGCAAAAATTCCTAAGCATGTTCAACACGATGAAAATGTGCTGAAGCCTTGGTGAAGCAAGGGCTCAGTTCACTTGGACAGAAGAGCAGGTTATTATTAGTTAAGCATTTTACAGGATCACCTGTGACTTGTATTGCTTCTCACATGTAAATCGCAAAGTATGTTGCAGCATTATTATTCCCACTGTGTTGAAAGGCCAAATAAGCATCCACAGCTGATAATTTGCCTGGGGTTACCCAGAAGTGGAGCATAGGCCTCCGAAGTGCTTTTGGGCACGTTATTCACTAGACCAGACAGGGATCACATCAAAGAACTTAAAGCTTTATTTGATAAAAGGGAAACAGAAGCACAGAGAGGTGTATTAATTTTCTCCTAGTCTCATGGCAGGTTAATAGGAGAGACACAGGTCCTGGCTAAGTGCCTTGACTTGCTGGTAAGAAGCTCCCCCTGAGCCAAGCTGGCTTAGCCAAGGTCCAAGGTCGTCTTTCCTCTCAAAGTGATGCTTTATTTTCACCTGGAGATGAAAAAGTGAAGTGGTGATGTGAAATGCATTTGTTTTTACATCAGTGATGTCTTAGTCACAGTAGTCTTCAAATGGGGAAAAAAAAAACAGGAATTTTGAAATGCCATGTTGTATAGCTCACATTTGCAATTCCATGTATGCCCTTTGAAAGGATGAGGATACATGCATAAGAAAAGTGTCTATTTATTTTCATACATTTTAAAAAGAAGTAGCTTTGGATCATTTGTTTTCCCAGCCCATTCAACCTTCTTGCAGAAATAGCTCTTCCAAAATGAACCTTGGGAAGCAAAGCCATAGAAATGTAAACATTGAAGGCTGCGTAGGAATTAGAATTAAGAAAATGACAATTTTAAATGCTGAAGATGTTTAATTTGCTGAGTTCTGTGGCTCATGTCAGAAGTAGCATTTGTAGAGTTGCCAGCTGGGCAGGGAATGTTCTGGTGGAGGTAGAGGGGCCTGGGGACAGGATAGGCTCAAACCTTGCAGTTAGACTGGGGTCTGCAATGCTAGCCTGCTACCCAATGTAATAAATCCCTAGCAGAAACAGGGGCTTCACAACATCTACCCAAAGCGAGGAAAGCACCATGTTAACTTGACAGAAGATATCAGGACCTTGAGTGCTTCTGTCACATCATTTTTTGAAATCACCACTGGATTCTCTGCTTGAGATTTTTCTATATTGCTTTGGGGCAGATTGTGGATGGGAGTAAAATTAAATGACACAGTAACTCATTTGAGAGTGAGGGAATGCCCGCCTGATGAAAGAAAGGGTGACTGGAGGAGATCACTTTGTTTCAGAAGATTGCATGTAATAGCAAAATGTAAAATTCAGACATTATGGTGCCTAACAAGTATGGGATCTTGGATGCACAGTTTGTGTGTTGTTTTGCATTGTGTCTGTTTTGACTATGAGCTCCTTTGGATAAGAAGCGCAGTATTTTAGATCACCTAGCATAATATCACCCTGGGCTCTGTGCACTCCTTGTATGAAAACATTAGTTGTGATTATCTGCTACTGCAGAGGTTATGGTAGGCTATATTTACAGAATGGTACAATTTACCCAGTTTATTTATCCTATTATTTTCTGCTTAAGAAAACATGCGTGCTCATGTTAGGGTTTTTTTTTTTTTTGGTTTTGGTTTTATTTTTTTAACAAAACAACAACAACAACAAAAATGTATTCAGTTAAAAGTTGGCCCATTATTTCTTTACTTTAATATACAGTTACTTGTATGACTCACAAGTAAGTTAATGAAAATCAGAGGGTAGCCCCAAACCACAAATGCATAATTACAGTTGGATTTCAATGCCCATTTCAGTCTGGTAGCTTTGGGGGGTGGATTTGTGCAAGAGATAACAAGCCAGGATCTCATTCTCACTAGCATTGGGACATCAAGACATTTGACAGTGAAATCTGAGCTGGGAACGAAGATGAAGATATTTTAAGGGTTCCGTAAAACATTGTGAACAACCATATGACCATTTTTAATATTCCTTTCCTATAGTTTCTTCTTCAATTCTACAAAGAAAAATCATGGGAATCAATATCAGCAAGTAATCCATAGACTCTAGCAGATAATGCACTCCTTCAATTAGGCTAGATGTGCGAGAAGACAAATAGCAGAGCTGATGTATTTTTCTGTGTTCTTCATTATTTTATGGAGTTCTTTCTTGTGTCTTTTCTTCTTTTGATTCTGCTGTAACATAAGCACCCATTGCTTAATAGCTATTTCATTGAAAAAAAAAAAAACAAAAGACGCAGCACTGTTTTACTAATCTGTTTTGAGCTATTCGTTGTCACTTCCATTTGTTTTCTTTTTTTAATAATTGATATTTTATTAACAGAGAAGGAGCTACTTTGGAATTTGCTTTTCAGGCCAGGCACATTCCAGGAGCAAAATTTAGAAACACTGCTTTCCCCCATTCTGAGAAATACGTGTTATTGTGGTTTTGTTATTTAATTGGACTGAAAGGAATGAAACATCTGATTTGAGGGTATTATGGCATCAGGAAAAGACTGTGTGAGTCTCATTGTTTGAACAGGCCGTGGTTGACCTTCATCGTTAAGCTGAACAAGGCTGCAGAAGGCAGTAGCAGTACACTGAACTGAGAGTACGATGGTGACTCCTCTATATTTGCGTGGTTTTTGCTTTTCTAAACTCTATTTTTATTTCGCAGGTGATGGAAGTTAAAGGACAAATGATTCATGTGCCCGAGTCAAATTCAATTTTGTTTCTGGGTTCCCCCTGTGTGGACAAGCTGGACGAACTGATGGGCCGAGGCCTTCACCTTTCAGATATCCCTATCCATGATGCTACCCGTGATGTAATATTGGTTGGGGAGCAAGCGAAGGCGCAAGACGGCTTGAAAAAACGCATGGATAAGCTGAAGGCCACACTAGAATGCACGCACCAAGCCCTGGAAGAGGAGAAGAAGAAGACTGTTGATCTTCTGATCTCCATTTTCCCCGAGGAAGTGGCCCAGCAGCTATGGCAGGGGCAGCAAGTTCAGGCGAGGAAGTTTGATGATGTCACGATGCTCTTCTCGGACATCGTGGGCTTCACTGCCATCTGCGCGCAGTGCACCCCCATGCAGGTCATCAGCATGCTCAACGAGCTCTACACGCGCTTCGACCATCAGTGTGGCTTCCTGGACATCTACAAGGTAATGGCTCAATTGCCGAGTTACTTAAAAAAAAAAAAAGGAAAAAAAAACTCTTCCCAGAGAATTCTTCTAAATTATAGATGTTCCCAATAAAAGTGGGAAAGGCAATTATTTGTTCATTTGGAAAAATCTGAGTTCGGGGTAAAATAAACTAATTCTGAAATATTTCCATTGAAAATCAAATATTTCATTATTTAACTGTCATCATGGTTTACATGAGAATATATGTCCTATAATTCCACTTTCCTGAAAGGACATACACCTCCTATGTTATAGTGTAGTTTACTTTCACCTGACACACCGGGCACAATGATGAAGTCCACAGTGACAATCCTAGTTCAAGTTGCAGCTTCTGAAAGGTACTCAAATACTTTCTGTTTCAGCTGTAAGCTGAATGTGTTGGAGTTCAGGCATTTGTTTTTCCTTGAAAAAAAAAACTATTCCATGGAGAACAGGGCATTCAGTAAGAAAATTGTAATTAAAAATCTAGCTTTTCACTGAAAAATAGGAAGAGAAGAACAGTTGTCCACTAACAGTAAATGTAATGAGTATGGCACAACCATCCTGCAGCTGCTCTGCAGGAAAGGAGATGCTGCATATGTTGAGCTTCTTTCAGAATCTATCACCGTCTCTTCAGAGGGGAAATATACTATGTATCTGAGAAGAAAAAAGAGGGGAGGTAGAATTTAGCAAATGCTTCTGTGCTCTTTTTCTGTGAAATTTACAAGCAATGTATTGTATATAGAAGATATTTTAATTTTATAATAGGTAAAGCAGAACAAATTTCTTAAAAAAAAAGGAAAATAATTGATGTCAACACTGCACCCATGAAAAAAACCCAGATGTAATTATAAAATTGTATGTTGAAATTGTTTTACATCTGAAATCAACAGTTTTCATATAGCTCCAGTACTTATTGTAGGCTACAGAGAAGTTTTCACAGGCACACTATCCCTTTAATTTTTAGCCTTTAATGCACTTTAAAAGGCACCTAATAATACTCATTATCTAAGTAATAATGACTGTTGTTGCAAAATTATACTAGATGCTGCAGGTAGAAGTGTACATAGTATAGGAGAAGATTGGTAAGACCACTTACTGGCACAAAAGATCATGTTGTGAGCAAGTTTTGTGCTGTTCGACTAGAGCTTGTTATTTCTACTCAAAAGCCAAACAACATGTTGGGAGAGGGTGATGATGAGAGGCACGAGTCCTCATTTGAAAATTGCCATGCTGACACAGGCAGAAAAGGCTGGAAGTCTGAGCTGAGTTTGTGTCTACTGCCTGCTCTGGAGCTAGACTCAGCTCTGAGCGGGAGAAGTTCTGACCCTTGGTCAAGAGCGGGATCTAGTGACCTTGTTTCACAGGCTGGATCTGGTACACGGGTGTATTTAATATTTTCCCAGATGATTAATTTTAGTTAACTGGTTTGAGGCATTCGAGCCATTATTTTGTCAAAAGCTGCAGCTGTTGCATGGGAATAGGAAATGTGATATCTCAAACTCCCTGACTTGTTTGGAAGGAAAGTTGGTTGAGCCATGTGAGAATGTTAAAGAGGAATATTTATCCATAAATCATGAATATTATGTCATTTAGACCATGGCTATTGCCTTTCAGCCAGCTCTGTTTTGCTGCATAGCAGTATTACCCTGACTGGTGAAATCAGGTAATTGCTGCCGAGATAGGCAAGGTAAGATTTATACATCCAGAATAGAAAAAAGTTCTCCAGAAAATTACGCCAAACTAGGGAGCCAGGAGTCTGAGAAATGTTACTATGGAGCTAAGTGAAAAAAAAATGAGTTGGGCATTACAGAAGAAAAAACTCAGGCATGAAAGTTTCCTTCCCTTTAAGAACTAGGCTTAAAATAAAGTGACAATTGTTTGGGAAAAAAAAAAAAAGCATTTGCATTTTAAAATAAAAATAGCTTTTGTGTTTATAACTCTAATTTGTTTCAGATGAGATTGTGGAAGCTAAATTTATTGATAGAAATGTTCACCACCACCACCATAGCTATTATTCTAGAAATTATTGTCAAACAATGAATTTTAGATCTGTAATCACCAGTATTTGTACCCACAGTTAAATTCCTGTAACTAGGTGACAGAAATTTGTCATATGACCTATATATAAATCTAAACAGACCAATTTTCAAATTTGTTTGTGTTTAAGCAACACGGCAAGAATAATTTGCAAAGGTTATTTGCAGAGTACTTCTGCATAATAAATTCATCTTTTTGTAAACAGAAAATGAAGCAAAATTCATTAAATAATTTCCATGCTATGAATTATTCATCCAGCTTTACCTTATAGCATTTTGATTCACAACCTTGGTGCTTGTAATCTAGGACTCAGACAATGAATGCAATGAAAGTAATAATTTTCAGTTGTTTCATCCTATTCATTCAGGGATGTTTATAGGGAAGTATTGCATGGAAAGATGCATAAGGATGCTCACATTTAACAAGTAGGAAATGGATGGCAAACATAATGAGCTATTGGATACAGAATAAGAAATGTTTGGAGAAGGGCTGAAATGAAAGACATAGAAATGTCTTAGAAATGAAAGTAAGCAGCTATAATTGGCTAAATAAGGAAAGAGTATCCAGTGGAGGGATACACACATATGTATGACATAGTCAAATGTTGGCCTCAAGAAAATGAACAAACAAAAACAAACAAACAAAACTTTACAGGAGTATTTTGAATAGCTGCCAGAGGTAACAGATTACATTTGCCCAGGCTGAGGAAGAACATAGTGGTGATTGAGATTCATGGATATGACAGCCTGGGGGAAAGCGCAAGCATAATGTAAGAGTCTGCGTTTTATATATGCTTATATGTATGTGTTTTTTAAAGAGAGAAATTTTAAAAAGAATCTGCTTGCATACAGCTTGCACAAAAGGCAAGAGGAGCCCTCAGGGGACAGGATGAGGAAAGTCTGAGTATGTACCTAGCAAGACCCTGCCTTTGGAAGCTGGTCCTGCCTGATATTTGAGCTAATCATATTTGTCTTGGAATGGGGGAATGAGAGCAAAAAGATGCTCTTCAGCAGAGTTTGCAAATCTGCCTTGCAAGAAAGGTAGATGCAGCTCTAAAGATTGGAGACTCTAGGTAAGGTTTTGTCTGTGAGCATGGAAATAGAAATGTGGACTCCAGGAGCAAATATATTAGGGAAGATTTCAGTAAACTGAGAAAACAGCTGCTTTGGGTAAAACATATACTGGTGCTGTTTTGTTTGGTTTGTTTCAAACTGTTTTACTCTGTATCTGAACTCCTGCTGTTTATGAGCTGAGTACCAGAAAAGGATTGTACAGTTAAATCATCTCTTTATTAAATATGCTATTTAGATATGTTGCAGACACAGCACGCATTGAAGACTCACCTCTGCAGAGGAGAATCTTCTGCTGTCAAGCTTCTTGCAGCCTCTGTTCCTCTCTCCTAGCAGTATATCTTTGTCCTGGTTCTCAGCTCATTTCCTTTCTGAAACAACCCCAGTTCCCCCCTCATCCTTCAGCTGCAGCATGGGGAGAAGCAGCATGTGGTGGGGCTGGTTTTCCGGGCTGGTGCCTGTTTGCTGGCTGCATAATGCCAAGCCAAGCAGATCCGCCCCTGTGCGCATTATTTTGTTAGTCCTTTCCCTGGACAGTGCAGCCTGCATCCTTGAGGCATTTCTTTAGGGTAGATTTTCACCAAGCAGTCTCCCCTGAAATGCTATAAAGTCTATATTATTCCACAGATAAGTTTACAGCTGGAATTCTCAGCTTTGTTATGTTAACTTCTGTTTTCTCTTTGACTTTATTATTTGGCTAAAGTGGGAACCAATCTCCAAGTAGTGCCACACTATGCCTCAGAGTCCTTTACTTTTTTTTTTTTTTGGTTTAGTTTTCTGGCTATTTATCCTGGCAACATTATCATCTCACCTTCTTATTGTATATACCTGCCTCTGCCTACAGCCTTAATTTTTACTCCTGCCAAAGACCTCAGACTAAGAAGGGATGGGAGGTCCAAACTATCCTATAGTCAGTAGAGGCTGATACCAGGTCAAAAAATTGTGGCTTATACTGAGTTTGTATTATAATGATTTTAGAAGCCAATTTTAAATTTGTGTTTTCTAAGGTTATCTCCTTAACATTTATATGTTCACATTATGTTAGAGAAATCAGTGTTTGGAAAGTGGAAAATACCAATACTTTCTCAGTGCTGTCACTACCCCCTTCCTTGAAAACTGATACTTGTACATATACATATATATATGTATTTATGTATATATATTTACTGCCTGGTGCTGTAATGACTGTATACTGTAAGAATACTGTAATAGGAGGGAGTCATGAGATTCAGACTATTCTGAGGTCTTCCAGGCTTTATATTCCATAAATTAAGAACTGTAATTTACACATCTTCCAATAAAATCTATGGCCACTATTTTTACTCCTTCCGTTACTTCCTCAGTTTTAACCTTGGAGTTTCTGTGACTGCCTGACCATTTCTGTGAAGCATTAAAATCGCTTTAATTTCAGTCTAGCCATCTGAAAAAGGAAGATTATTATTAAACTTAATTAAAATATGTAACCTATATTGATAGTCCTGTAACGCATGTATAAGCAATATTATATATGTAAAATATGTCTCTTTTTTAAGATGAATAGGTCAAGGTTTGGGGATTACCAGTGTAATACATGTTATTTCTTGTTGATTTTGAATGGATAATAGAAGGAAGTCTCCCTTGGAAAGAACCTACCTCTGCATGGGCCTAGCCAGCCTGGCAGAGCTGCCCTTTTAGTGAGCTGCTCTGCTGAGCTCCAACCCCAGAGACCTCCTGAACATTGACATTTTCCTTGGCCTGTGTAGGCTTTAGCCTTGACTTTCTTCTTGAACCCTTTGTGTATTTACTTGCTGCCCCATGACTGTGTCTTACTCCAACATGAAATGTGGACCAAACTGGGGAACCTACATCTTCTTTGGAACTCAGAAGTGTTTTTAGGTTGAGTAAAAAAAC